AAATTATTTGACTAATTACTTAATTATATAAAATTTACATAATGAAACAAGTTTTAAAAAGATAATGTATATTAAATTAATGTAATAATGTGTCCAAATACATTATTTATTTATTTATAAAAAGTCTCTAAATACATTATTTTTGTATACTTTAAAAAAATATGTTATTGTGTCAATCTTAATATACTTTAAATTATTTCTTTTTCTCTAGAATCTCTGTTGTACCCCAAAATTTGCCCTCCCGTTTCTCTTCAAGATGTTATCCTAGGGTTTCTCAAATACTCAAAATGGCTCAGGATTTGATCAAGCAAATTCTCTTCCAAGGCATTGAGTCAGCAACTAGGGTTTGATACTTCTCAAACAAATTTAAGCTTCTAAGGTTTCAAATAGACTTCGTGGTTCTTCATGTATTCTCAATGATGCTCGTGCCAAGTTTTAAGCCTTGCATTGCGAGTTTGCTCAGTCAATGATTCAGATGACTGAAAATTAATTGTGTTGACCCAAAAGTCGACCTTTCCAAGATCAAGTTCAAACGATTGTAACTTCTTCATTATTCAATATTTTTGAGTGGTTCTTTTTGCGTATGATTCTCCTTGACGTCATCTCCAATTTCTCTTTACAAGTCAAGAACTTATTATGTGCGAAGGATCATCAGAAACTCGAATGCTTTAGAGGTCACCTTCTGGATTTTGACCTAATCTCAAGTAACTGTGCCTGACTTCCAAGAATCGTAATTTCCCCAATATTCAAGATCTTGAGACGATTACTTTTGCACACTGTCATAAGTGATGTCGTCAACAAGTTCTCTTCCAAAATCGAAAGAAAATTGTGTTTAGAAGACCTTGAAAGGCTATGATTCTCATGTTGAGATCGTTCATGGAACAAGATTTTGAGTTTGGAGATTCATGTTGAGTTCAAACAAGATGTTGCTTATAATATAAGTCTTCATGTTGAAAATCGATCCAGGATCTTGGTGAAAGTGATTTGAACAATGGTTTTGGATTTCAATTCAAGTTAGCAAGGCACTACAAGTTCCGTCTAAATTTTCTACGATTCATTCGCGGGATTTATTTTGAATTTAAGGTGCCAAAGAACGAGTTCACTAAAATTTGCTCAAATTCATTTAAACTTTGGAATGATGATAAAGTTATGCTTTGATTTATGGTTGCTCTAAGTCACATGAACTAAATTAAATTGTCAAACCTAATTCAAAGTTTATGTCTATTCATTTATTTTCAATCACATCATTATTCAAATGCAAGACTTTTTCTTAAGTCGCATTACAATTCAGAATTATTCAAAGATTCACCATGAATTCAAGTTCATTCATGAGAGAGTATTTAGGCATACACTTGAATTCAAATCTCGTCCATAAATTTCATGATCCAATTCATTCAAAATTCAGAACCATTACACCATTCTTGATTTCATTACAAAAATTACACAAGTGTACATAATTATCAAAAATCAAGTCCTAAAACTAAAGCCTTCTCCTTGTTCCTAATCTCAAAACTTCAAAACCTATGTTAAACTTCAAACATTCTTCATCATTCTTCATGCGCATTTCCAAAAAAAAAATTTTACCAAAGCTTGTGTGAACAACCCATAAAACAACTTGCAAACAAACAAAAAAAAAACTGTCAAAAAACAGTCCAACCTTGCTGCAAAACAACAACCCTGTTGCTGTCCAAAAATCAGCCCTAGAAATGCTGTCCAAACCTGCATAAACCCAGTCCTCAAAATCTGTCAAAAACCTGTCCATAAACAACCAAATATTACACAAAAAAATTAGCAAAAAAATCAGCATTAGAAAGCAATAAAACAGTATATCAAAAATTGTTCAAACTTATCATTATCCCCCCCCCCTGAAGCTCATCTTTCTCACTTATAAATCCAACAAGAGATCACAACATACAAGGACAAAAATCGAAGGAGAAAAATATAGCAGAACACACACCAAAAGAAAAACCTTCACAAACCTATGCTTAATCAACTCTCAATACTTTCTAAAACCTCTCATACTCACTACCCTGCTAACAAACTCGTTCCATACACACTGTACCATTCACTGCAATATTTTTGCATCACCACCATAACCTTTCAATCTCAAACCTCAACACTATCATCACACACAAAACTAATTTTTTTTTACACAAGCACAATAGATTGACATCATACGCAGACCATAAAAAAACTCAATACCCGAACCTTACTCTTACCAACGTTCATTCCCAAATTTCACACTCAGATTCGCAATAAACCCAATCACACACATATTCCCTCGATTCATAAAAAACTGTAATACATCTTCAGAGCAATATACAACAACTTCAGAGAATCAAAGACGAAGAAAAATAGAAGAGTATTGCTCAGAGGATCAAAGATTCTCTTACCTGGACGTTACAACTTCTGTTTTTCTCTTCATTTTCGCTCCACCATCAAAACTGGGACGAACCTCCGTCTCGTAGGTAAAATTTTCTCTCTAATTTCAACCGATTCCTCATACCACATGAATTCTCGAGCATTCTTGAATAGTTCCCCCAATGTCTAAGCTTAAGATCAGGCTTCATCTTTCGATTCCATTAGTTAAGTTTTTTTTTTCTTCCGGATTTGTTTAAGTAATTGTTGATTAAGTGTGGTTGCGGCGGTGAGGATAGAGATAGTAGAAAAAAGAAGAATCGAGTAAAGAAAAAAGAAGGGAATCCGTGAGAGGTATTGAGTCTGAGAAGAAACTTGATTTCTGAAAGTTTTAATTTTTGAACAGAGAGAATATGGATTATGTTGGGAGAGAGAACAAGTGTTTTGTTGGGGATGAATGGTAATCAGTTTATTTTATTTTATTTTTAACCGCTTCTGTTTTAATCCGTTGGGTTTGAACCTCCCTGACCCGGTCCAACCCAACTCTTTTTTTTTTTAAGTTTATTTTTTAAACTCATAGTTTTTTTTTGTTTTTTTTATTTAATCTGCTTTGTTTTTATAATTTGGGTCTTACCCATTAAACCCATTCGAAAATTACACAATGCATCCCTTATTCAACTGTCTTCGGCCCAATAGCAATTTAGCTATTTATTTAGATGCTTTTTCTTTTATAATGGACCTCACCCAATCCGAATTGACCACACCCCAGACCCATTATTTTCTATTTTATCTTTGTTATCTTTTAAATAAAAATTAAATAATGTTTAGTTTTAGACATGTTAATTTTCTTTTCTCATAAATATTTTCTTTACAACATTAACATAAAAATGACAAAAAAAAAAATAGATTTAAGACTTTTATTTTCTTTTAAGATCATTATTTCTTTAAATAATTTTAGAGTTTAGATTTTAATTTCCTTTTCATATAAAAAAAATCCCAAACATAGTATTTTGATTTTTTATTCTTGAATTTTCATTTATAACTTTTATTTGACTTTGATTTAATTACCAAAAATAATAGAATAGATTTTTATTTTCTTTTCAAATTTTCTCACAAAAGAAAAAATACCAAAATATTATTCTTATTAATTTTATTAAATAGACTGTTTAGTTTAATTAATTGTTTATTTTTAATTTGATTGAGTTATATTGATTGTTTATTTAGACTTTTACTCGTAGTTTACTATTTTTCGCATTCTTTCGATTGTTGTAATGGTTTACAGTTTGTAAATAGTTCAATTAGGTTTTTACTTCATCCCCATTCATAAATTTGTACCCCCATTTCCGAAGCTTTGTAATAGCGTAGAACTTAATTTCTGCAATTTACTATTCTCCTTTATACTGTATAGTAATTAGGCGTGTATGACAAGATTTAAAATCAATCGCTAGACAACCCTAATCAAAGACAAATTAACTTGAATCAAACACACTTTTCACACGCGTACCTCTAGGATAATCTCACTTGTTGCCTCAGAAAAATAGTCACGTCCCTCGAATGTGTGACGCTTTAGCAAAGACCCTCGATAAAAAAGATCATAGTCCCTCGATGTCCCTCGATGTTGTCTTCGGTTAAAACGATCTTAGTCCCTTACGAAACTTGCTAAAGCGTACCATAAGTTGTCTTCTATGACTATACGATTGACCCACGCCCGTCCCTTCACATCCAATGATAGGGCTTCTTACCAAATCAATGATAAGATATCAATATCTAAAGGAGGAGGAAAAGAACAAAGATCCTTTTGAGTATGTAGAATGCTCGTAGTTGCTTGCTCACAAACTAAATATCTCCACACTCACACTTTCAAAACATCTTCAAAAACAAACATCTCTTTGAACTATTTTCAAAACCAACACTTTGTATACATTCTTATAGAGATGAGAATCATTACAAATTTTGCCGAAATAAAAGGCATTTTTTTCAAAATATTTTCAATCTTACACCAATCACAAACACATTTCAAACAAAATATTTTCAAAGTGATCAAGCAACTAAGAGCCCGTAGATAACTACAGATGAAAAATGTGCTAACACCTTCCCTTTTCATAACCTACCCCCGAACTCAAGAAAAATATCTCAAAAGGTCTTTCTTGTTCTTTTCACCATTTATTTTGTTAGATAAAAGAAAAGTCAGTGACGACTCTTATTATCCGCAACAATTGCGATAAAACGCAAAGCACCAAAGTCAGTTCTTCCACCGTATTACAATTTTTTTTTTCATTTTTATTAAGACTATATTTATTTTTTAATGGCAATTTAGGAAAATCATATGCAAGTTTAGAAAAGTTAAGAATAATGAGAAAGAACATGCATTTTTAACTTCAAATATACTCATGGATGGATACTATTTAGGTATAATTTTTAAGT